GTCTCTTTGGACTGCAAGCCGACGCTCTAACCGCTGAGCCAAACCGGCCAGGGCCAGTTCCATTTTTATACACGAACGATCAACAATATGAAAATAATTTCATTTATAATAGCATCAAAAAGTATAAAATACTCAGGAATTAATCAACAAAGTGAAAATGTGTACAATCAAAACTACAAAACACCACTAAAATAAAGACAAGTAAATAGAAATACATGACATGTTCACAGATCAGAAAAATACTGTTAAAGTGTCAATTATTACCCAAAGTAATCTACAGATTCAATGCAATCCCCTCAAAATCCCAATGATGTTCTTTTCAGATACAGAAAAACACACCCTAAAATTCATATGTAAATCTAAAGTGTTCCAATAGCCAAAACAATCATGAAAAAAGAAAACAAACCAAAAAGGAGGATTCCTATTTCCTAAGTTCAAAACTTACTACAAAGCCACAGTAATCAAAACTAGGTGGTACTGGCATTAAGACAAATATATAGATCAGTGGAATACAATAGAGAGCCCAGAAATAAACCCTCATATATACATACATTCAAATGATTTTTGATATGGATGCCACAAGACCACTCAAGGGGAACAGTCTTTTCAACAAATGGTGCTGGGAAAACTGGATAGGTGCGAGCAATAGAATAAAGCTGAACTCTTACCTAACACCATATACAAAAATTAACGCATCCTGGCCAGTGTGGCTCAACAGTTAAGAATGATAGCCGATGCACTGAAGGGTTGAGGGTTTGATTCCCAGTCAAGGGTATGTACCTGGGTTGCAGGTTTGAGCCCCAGTCCTGGTTGAGGTTGTGTAGGAGGCAGCCAATCAATGTTTCTCTCTCTCTTTCTCCCTCCTTCCCTTCTACTCGATCTAAAAAATCATCAATCGAAAAATATCCTCAGGTGAGGATTAACAACAACAACAAAAAATTAACACAAAATGGATCAAAGACCTAGATGTCAGACCTAACACAATAAAACTCTTAGAAGAAAAATAGGACTAAAGCTTCACAACACTGGACTTGGCAATGATTTCTTGGATATGGCACCAAAGGCACAGGCAAAAGAAAAATAGAGAAAATGAATTTTGGAAATTAAAAAATTTTGTCCAAGAGACACTATCCACATAGTAAAAAGGCAACCTGTAAGTGGGAGAAAATATTTGCAAATCATCTATTTGATAAGGGATTAATGTCCAGATCATATAGAGAACTCTCAAAACCCAAAAATGAACAACCTGATTGTGCAAAGGACTTGTATAGATATTTCTCCAAAGAAAAAGCAAATAAGCACACGAAAAGATGTTCAACATCACTAATTATTAGGGAAATGCAAATCATACCTACAATGAGATACTACCTCCCACCCATTAGGATGGCTGTTATCAAAATAACAGAAAACAAGTGTTGATGAGGATAATAAGAAATTGAAACGTTTGTGCTCTGCTGGTGAAAAGGTAAAATGGTACAGGCAGTGTGGAAAAGAGTATGGTGGTTCCTCAACTAGTTAAAAATAGAACTGCCGTATGATCCAGCAATTCCACTTCTGAGGATAGACCAAAAGGATTAAAAGCAGGATCTCAAAGAGATACTTGTATACCCATGTTCATAGCACCATTATTCACAATAGCTAAAACTGGGAAGCAACCCAAGTGTCCATTGACAGATAAATGGATAAGCAAAATGTGGTATTTATATACATGCAAAACCAAGAAAATTATGGAATATGCCACAACATAAATGAATCTTGAGGGCATTATGCTAAGTGAAATAAGCCAGTCACAAGAAGACTAATACTGTATAATTCCACTTCTATGTGGCACTTAGTCACAATTATAAAGACATAAAGTAGAATGTTCATTGTGGTTGCCAGAGGTGGGGGAGTTCTTGTTTAATAGGTAATGATTTTCAGTTTTACAAGATTGAAAAAGTTCTAAAGATGAATGGTAGTGATGGCTGCACAATGTGAATGTATTTACCACCACTGAGCTGTGCACTTAAACAGGATTAAGATGGTAAATCTCATGTTGTGTGTATTTTACTGCAAAAAAATAATAATGATCTGCCACTAGGTGCTTTTCAGATAGGTACATAATACTTTATTTAAAATTGTATTGAACAAAAATTAATAAACTTCAAAACCTAAACAGCAACTCTGTGAACCCTTCAGAATATACTCTGAAGAACTAGGTTCTTCCTAATTCTAATACTTAACCTGGCACAAATAATTACTCCTACAGCCTCATATTCTTCACCCAGAAAGTGGTGGTAATTTGAATGTCAGAGTTGCTATTAGGGTTAAATGAGATAATATTGAAGTACCATGTAGAAGCCAGTGTTTTTCAAAGTTCAGAGTGTGCAAGGATACAAATATAAATTCATTAAATATCAAAAGAAAACATTTAATGGTTAAGAGTTTGGACTAAGCCCTGGCCAGTTTGGCTCAGCAGTTAGAGCATTGGCCTGCGGTCCAGAGAGACCCTGGTTCGGTTCCCACTATGGGCACATACCTCGGTTGCAGTTTGTCCCTGGCCCTGGTTGGGTTGTGTGGGTGGCAGCCACTCGATGTGGTCCCTTTCACGTCGATGTTTCTCTCTTCCTCCCTTCCTCCCTCCCTCCCACTCTATTTGAGCAAAAAATGGAAAAATGTCCTCGGGTGAGGATTAAAAAAAAAAAAAAGGAGAGTTTGGACTAAGATATCAGATAGATTTATATTCAAACTTCAGTTCTGCTGACAACCTATGTGGCCTTACACAATTTATTTCACCAGCCCAGCCTTTATCATCTTGATCAGGAAAATGAGGATAATAACAAGAGACTTCACGGAGTTGCTGTTTAAATTAAATGAGATAAATCATATAAAGCACAGTGTTTGTCACAAAATAATGACTCAATGTTCTCAAATAGCTCCTCAGTTAATGCAACTGACTAATTATTAAGAAACCTTTTCTCCATGCCTTGTCCCAGTCACTATGCTTCCTTCTAAGGCCCCAAGATAGGAAAGATATATGCCCTACCCTCAAAAAGTTCAAAACCAGTAAAGAAAGCACAAATATTTTTCAAAGTTTGTAATAGACTATAATAAATAAAATTGAATTTTATAGATATTAGTATGTTAGCAAGAGTAAGGGCCCTGAGATTGATTATATTGAGAAATGAATCAGTATCTCGAAGGAGATGATATAGGAGTTGGATCTTAAAGAGTATGTTTGTTGTGTCTATTAATAAAGGAAGAATACAAAAGAAATAATCAAAATAACAGAGTACTTATATGGGGCTCTAAGTGGGCAGAAGCAGGTCATGAAAAGGAAAAAAATGTGAGGGTCTAATAGTGAAGGGCTCTGCACAAATGCCCTGTTCATGTATGTACGCTTTATGCTCACTGGGGAAACCAAGAGGATTTCAAGAAGAACATACTCAAACCCAAATCTAGAAAAATAACTGATACAATGTAAGGCTTTGGTTGACTTAAAGGTGTCAGAACCTCCTCCTAAATTTAACTTGAAAGAGGAGTCTGCCTGATAAACAAGTGTAAGAGGACAGACGTCCCAGGCAGAGCGTGGAAAGAGGAGAGTCCAGTGTTTCTGGAGTGCAGCACCTTGAGAAGCAGCAGGAGAATGCAGAAGAGAAAGGCAAGGCATTAAAACCTGTTGATGTCCAGGAATATAAACTTCATGGGCAATAAAAAAAGGCTTTCAATAGTGGAACAGTTGATAAGATGGTGTTCTGAGAAACATCTCTGACACCAATGATGGGAAGAAACAGATTAGCAAGACTGGAAGGCTGAAAGTCCAATTAGGAACCTGCTGCCACTGCACAGGAAGAAAATTACAAAGTAAAACCCAGACCAAGAGAGGGAAGAGCAGGCAGACTCAAAACACATTTATTTAAGAGGACCATTCAATATACCTGGGGATTTTAAAAAGTATTTTATTTTTACCATTTCCATATTTCAAACACATTCACTATTCCCGTCTAGCTGCAAGATAAAAATCTCAAAGCTGGTATAAAGGCCCTCTCCCTTTCATTCCCTTTTCCTTAAAACCTTACAGTCCTTTGCTTGGACTCTCTGCCTCACCAAACCCCATCCAACTCCCAAGGACTAATTCCCTTTCCTCCACAAGGCCTTCCTGAGTCTCACACAGCAACTTCACTCAAATCTGTGCCTTGTCTGTAGGTTTCCTCCACAGACTCTGCAGAAAAATGTCAAACATAAAAACAGCAACACAACAATCCAAGCCAAGAGAAGTGCCATAAGAATATGGCATACTGGGGGAAAAAAAAAATCACTGTGGAATTGGGGATTATGGTTATTAAGAATCAGTTAGTTCTTCCATAAGGCTGTTATTATGTAAAATAAAATAATAATGGTAACAATGGTAGCGTACCTGCCAATCTGCAACCATAAGAAGATATATATGAACTAATAAATAAATGTAGACTAAAGTGAGCATGCAGTTACTAATGCTGTGAAGTATTCCTGAGATTATATATACAGCATAATATTAACTGGTACTTTTTAAAATTGCCCTGGCCAGTATGGCTCAGTGGCTGGAGCATCGGCCCATACACATAAGGGCTACGGGTTCAATTTCCAGTCAAGGGCACGTACCTGGGTTTGTACAGGTTCAATCCCAAGCCCCGCTCAGGGCGCATGTGGGAGGTAACCAATGTGTCTCTCTCACACTGATGTTTCTCTCCTTCCACGCCCCGCCCACCCGCTCTCTCTTAAAAAAAAAAAAAAAAAATCAATGAAAAAATATCTTTGGGTGAAGATTACAGAAAAAAGAAAGAAAACTAACTCATTTACAAAGAAGTAATTTAGGCAATGGCCATTTTCCTCCAGAGTAAATATAATGAGGGAACAGAAATAGAGACACAAAGCAAAATTATAACTTGAATAAACAGTTCCTAGAAATTGTGAGTTTCATAAGATTAAATCGTTACAAATAACGTGTACCTGGTTACAACCTACACACAAAGAGGACTTACAGTTTGGGCTTATGTCTATCTGTGAAGAACTCCAGGAGAACTCAGAAATCTCAATGCCAAACATGTCACAAGAGGTCAGAGGTCACATTTTCTAACTGGGGTTTGACCCTAAAGTGAGCAATACATGTAATTAATTGATGCCCTAATCTGAAACATTAACTTGAATGGGACTAGTCTCCTGATCCAATGCTAGTCTAATCATGCTAGTCACAAATGTGATCACCTCTAGAAACACAAAATCAAAGTTACTTAAGACAGGAAGAAAACAAAGGTTCAATTGCTTTTTGCAACAGTCCACAAAAAAATAAAATGACCCCTCCTAATGATAGAAACAAGCCAATAATGGTGGTAGAGATAACATAAAATCCATACTTATTTCAAAGTATGTCTTTCAATTACCTTATAGCTAGTACTATAATAGTTATGAAACTCAACTACCATATTATAATTATCCAAGTTACATGTGAGTAATTTAGATTAAAGAGACAAAGGAAATGATATATTTAACTATTTTTATTGTATATTAAATTATAGGTGACATTTAATAAAGTAACATGACGAGTTATAAATCATATTGGAAATCTTAGGGACTGAAAGTAAATTTCATGTCTGTTTCTGATTTTGTTGTTACATGATTCTTTATCTCTTTGCTCCTTCATTTAAAAACTGTAAAACAAAGGCTAACATCATGACGTTAAATAAAAGTGTGCAATAAATATTTGTTTTATATAAATGTTAAGTAATCAAATATTTCAAAACTTTAATTTCATGACACACATCCAAAGGGCATAAAATTGGTAAATTTATATCTACTAATTATAATTTAGCATTTATAGACTTTTAAACTAAAGAGAAGCTGCTGCCCTGGCTGGTTTGGCTCAGCGGTTAGAGCATCGACCTGTGGTCCAGAGAGACCCGGGTTCGGTTTCCGCTAAGGGCGCGTACCTCGGTTGCAGTTAGTACCCGGCCCTGGTTGGTTGTGCGGGTGGCAGCCACTCGATGTGTCCCTTTCACGTCGATGTTTCTCTCTCTCTTCCTCTCACTCCCTCCCACTATATCTGTATAAAAAAATGGAAAAATGTCCTCGGGTGAGGATTAAAAAAAAAAAAAAAAAAAACAAATAAAAGAGAAGCTGCTTATCTATAAGCTTATGCTTATCTTCATCTAAACTGACTACTGTACAGGGTCTTTATGATAAAATGACTGATTTGTTTCCATTATGGTAACTAAACATCACAAAACATCCTTTAGTTCCTAAGAATGTAAAATATTTTTACTGAGACCAAAATTTATTTTTGCTTATTCAGCTCCCAAATGAAGACATCTATGTAATTTTACACAATCAGTAAACAAAACTTACAAAACTGAACTTTTAGGCCCTGACCAGATGACTCAGTTGGTTGGAGCATCATCCCGTATACCTAAAGGTTGTGGGTTTGATTCCTGGTCAGGACACATACCTGGTTTCGAATTCGATCCCTGTTGTCAGGGAGAGTATGAGAGGCAACCAATCAATGTTTCTCTCTCTAAATCAACAAATACAGTCAGCCCTGGTTTATCATGGTTAATCATATCCAGACTCCACAGTGATAAATGAATTTCCGTGAAGTAGGATTATTTATTTATACACAGTCATCCCTCGCCACTTCGCGCTTCGACTTTCACAGCTTCACTCTAACCCGGTTTTCTCAAATATAGTGTAGTATAGTATAGTATTTGAAAAAACCACGATAGAGTGAAGCCGCGAAAGTCGAAGCGCGCGGAGGCAAGGGATGACTGTATATCCTCAGGTGGGAATTAAAAAAAATAAACAAACTTTTAAATCAAAGGGACATTAACTAAAGACTGCTCATTAACTAAAAGTCAAACATAATCCCATATATGTATTTTGCTTTCAGATCAACTCTTTTTGTAAAAATACTTTCCATTCCCAAATAGAACTTGTTGAAGAAGTTTGTTATACTTTTTAAATATTTGAAACATTCAAATCTCAACAGTGACTATCTAATTTATAATAATTTTTCTACAAAAAAAAAGTTTTGAACAAAACACTAGCAGTTTTAAAAAAAGGAAAATTAAAAGAAAATGAAAAAAAAAAAAAAATAAGGACTCAGGACTCTTTACTAAAGAGGTATAGTGATGCCCAACAGGAGACTGACATTAGCAACATAGAAAAATTCTATTTTGTTACAAAGATAAGGAAATTATTATCAATCAAATAACTTTGAGGATCTGAGGCTTCTCTATTCATGGAATTTCTTTGTAAATTTCAACATGAATCATAATATTTTAATCATCCTGGGTTTGAAGATAATAATACTGTAGATTCTGATGTGTCTAGTGTTATATACAAACATGAAGAGTGTCCCCTGGATTTGCTCCTACCAGAAGAAACTTTTACTGCTTTCAGTTCTGCTTTTGGACTTCAAGAAATATCCAGTGCCTTTAGCAACTATCTTTTTCTTTCTTAAACTTTTTTTCTTTATTGATTTTAGAGAGAAAGGAAGGGAGAGGAAGAGAGAGACAGAAACACTGATGAGACAGAACATTAATTGGCCAACTCCTACATGCCCCCCACTGGGGATATGGCTCACAAGCTGGGCATGTGTCCTCACCAGGAATCGAACCAGCCACCTATTGGTTCATGAGTCAACGTTCAACCACTAAGGCACACTGGCTGCGCATCTTATTTTTTCTTCTACGAAAAATCCTAAGACTGATGTGAACTGGGAAGACAGCAGTTTCTCACCTGTCCCAATCCTGTAAAAATAATTTTATGTTTTGTTCTAGTTTTTTTTTTTTGCTAAAAAACAAACAAACCTTTCCCTGATACAAGATCAAAAAAACTCATTTCATATCAAAATGACCAACATGAAGAATATAACTAAAGGAGCAGAATAATATTCTTACAATGAAAGCAAGTCCAAGAGATGTGACTACAAGACAGATGAAAACTATAGCTACTATGCCAAACATAAAAAAAGACACAAAGAAAATGATGCAAGATATAGAGAAAATAAAAACATCAGAATTAGAATAACTCAGAAACAAGTTAAACATAAATTTTAAAAATTAATTCAGCAGCGAAGTCTAAACTAGAAGGTACACAAGAACGAATACAGCAGGAAAATGTCATTAGAAGTTGCAAAGAAGAAAAATGTTAAAAATTAAAAAATATACAGCAGCTTTACCAATAATTGCCAGAACTCCAAAGGAACCAAGATATCCTTCAAGGTGTGTGGACAATAAACTGAGGTCCATCCAGACAATAGAATATTATTCTGCACTAAAAAAAAAATGAGCTATGAAGTCATAAAAAGACATGGAGAAAACCCTAAATGCACATTACTAAGTAAAAAAAGACAATCTGAAAAGACTACAACCTATGACTCCAACTGTATGAAATTCTGGAAAAGAAAAATGATGGAGACAGACAGTGGTTGCTAGAGACTGTGAAGGAAGGATGAACAGATGGGGCACAGAGGAATTGTAAGACAGTGACTACTTCGTGTGATACTCTAATAGCAGATACATATCGTTATACATTTGTCTAAACCCACAGAATGTACAACAGCAAGAGTAAACCCTAATGTAACATATGGACTTTGGGTGATGATAATGTGCCAGTGTAGTTCATCCTTGGTAAAAAATGTACCATCTGGTGAGTGATGTTGGTAGTAGGGGAGGCTATGCATGTGTGGAGGCAGGGAACATATGGGAAATCTCTGTATCTTCTCCTCAATTTTGTTGTAAACCTAAAACTGCTCTTAAACAAATAATAAAGTCTAAAAAAACAGGATGAAAAGAATTCAAGAGAAAATTACAAATATAAAAGTTGAGAAAAGATCCAACATAAGAGAAGGCCTCAACAAATACTAAATAAATGTGTATATAATAACATAATTAAGTATATGTACATAATTTTAATGTGAAAATTTCAAGATTCCAAAGTATATATTAAAGGACACTGGATACCCAAGAAAAACAACATAGAATGATCAACATTGAGACATATAATCAAATTATTAGACTTTAAAGAAAAAATCTTTTTGAATCTAGGCAAAAAGATAGTCACAAGAAAAAGGAAATCAAGTTATTAGATTTTTGACAGCAATGCTTTAGTGAGAATATATAACATACAGGGTGTGGGTTTACAGTTGTTCATATAGAAACCAATACAATAATGCAAAAATGAACTCTTGTGTTTCACACACTCACAATTGTAAACCTACTTTTGCCCCACCCTGTATAAGTAACCCAAATAGAAAATATAAACTATGGATTCTACATCTAGTCAAATTTATTTTCAAGTAAAAAGGCTGCAGACTGTTATATGCAAGAACTGAAAAACCAGCCCTGTCTGCTTTGGCTCAGCAGTTAGAGCACTGGCCATAGGACCAAAGGGTTACAGGTTCAATCCCTGGTCAAAGGCATGTACCTGGGTTGCAGGTTTAATCCTGGCCCCTGTGTAACTGATCCATGTTTCTCTTTCTCTCCCCTCCCCACATCTCTTCATCTCTCATAAACAAACAAACAAACAAATAAATAAAAAGTTTTGCCCTGGCGTGTGTAGCTCAGTTGGTTGAGCATCATCCCAAGCACTGAAAGGTCACCGGTTCGATTTCCAGTCATGGGGGAGGTACTAGAGGCAACCAACTGGTATCTCCCTCTCTCATCTATGTTTCTGTTTCTCTCTCACACCCTCTCCCTTCCTCTCTCTGTTAAATCAATAAAAACATTGAAAACAAAAAAATTTTTTTGCCCTGGCCAGTTTGGCTCAGCGGTTAGAGTGTTGACTTGCAGACCGAAGAGTCATAGGTTCGATTCCCAGTCAAAGGCACGTACCTTGGTTGTAGGTTCAATAACCAGCCCAGTAAGGGTAGTGCAGGAGGCAACCAAATGATGTGTCTCTTTCACATAGATGTTTCTCTCTCTCTCCCCCTCCCTCCCTCCCTCCCACCCACTCTGTCTTAAAAAACCTATGCAAAAATATCCTCAGGTAAGGAGTTAAAAAAAACACACAACTGAAAAATCTGTTCCCAAGAAGTCTTGATTAAGAATCTGCCAGTAGATGGTACTACCAATCTGAAAAACAGTATGGCGGTTCCTCAAAAAAAAATCAAAATAGAATTGCTGTATGATCCAAAAATTTCACTTCTGGGTATTTATCTAAAGGAAATGAAATCACTAACTAAAAAAGATATCTGCTACCCCATGTTCCTAGTATTATTATTAATAACCCAAACATGGAAACAACCTGAGTGTCCAATGACAGATGACTGGATAAAGAAACTGTGATACACACACACACACACACACACACATTTGTATATGTAATGGAATTATTATTCAGCCATAAAAAAAAGAAGGAAATTCTATCATTTTGTGACAATGTAGATGGACCTTGAGGGCAATATGCTAAGTGAAATAAATCAAGAAAATACAAATGTTGTATAATCCGACTTATATGTGGAATCTATAAAAAAACAACAACTCATAGATAAGAGAACAGATTGGTGGTTACTAGAGGCAGAGTTTGGGGGTGAGCAAAGTGAATAAGGGGGGTCAAAAGGTACAAACTTCTAGCATAAGATAAAAAATTTCTGTGGAATAATGTACAGCATAGTGACTATAGTTAATAATACTTACTGTATATCTGAAAGTTCTATGAGAGTAAATGTTAAAGGTTCTTACCACAAAGAAAAAAAGTTTAGCCCTGGCCGGTTTGGCTCAGCGGTTAGAGCGTCGGCCTGCGGTCCGGAGAGACCCGGGTTCGGTTCCCGCTAAGGGCACGTACCTCGGTTGCAGTTTGTCCCCGGTCCTGGTTGGTCGTGCAGGTGGCAGCCACTCGATGTGTCCCTTTCACATCGATGTCTCTCTCTCTCTCTCTCTCTCTCTCCCTCCTGCTCTATCTGAACAAGGAATGAAAAAGTGTCCTCGGGTGAGGATAAAAAAAAAAAAAAAAAAGAAAAAGTTTAACTATATGAGGTGATGCATTTTACTAAACTTACTGTAGAGATGTTTTTGCAATATATACATGTATTAAATCATGATGTTGTACAATTTAAACTAATACATTATCAATTATATCACAATGAAACTGGGGGGGGGGATCAAAAAAGAATCTACTACAGAATAAACTTTATTTATTTTTAATCTTCACCCAAGGACATTTTTTCATTCATCTTCAGATAGAGCAGGAGGGAGAGAGGGAGAAAAAGAGAGAGAAAAACATTGATGTGAGAGAGACACATCCACTGGTCGCCACCCATACAACCCCAACCAAGGCTGGGGACAAACTGCAACCAAGGTACGTGCCCTTAGGAGGAACCGAACCCAGGTCTCTCTGGTCCACGGGCCAACACTCTAACCACTGAGCCAAACCAGCCAGTGCCAGAATAAACTTTGGATATCAACATAGAAGACTAGTGATAAGCATGAAATAGATACTTGTAGAAGACTAAATGGTAGCTATAAGGAAGAAAGTATATGTAATTGCTATATTCTTTGACCATTTAGAATCAGTACAACTGTTTAAAAACAATGGATAAAGCAATTCATATGGTTTCCATGAAACATTACTGGTTATAGTGTTGGGTGTTTCTCAAATAGCTTGAAATATAATGTTGGATAAAACAACTTAGTGATTACATGATATTCCAAAATGTTATCACTCATGATGTCCTTGAGAACTATGACCCTTACTGTTTAAGAAAGGACATAAAGATTTTTAGATAAAAGAATTAAATAAAACCCAGTAGCCATAAATTCAAGTGGAAAATAACACTATGAATTCATCAGATGTTTTTTTATTTTACAATTGTATTTCCTAAACTGTATCCACTGAAGTCCTAGAAATGAGAGACTGACCTAGCATCAATGGGCACAAAGAGGGACAAAAAGTGCTCTTGAAATACAATTTCTAACTAAAAGAAACCAAAGACCCCTGAAGAAATCTGGGGCAGGGTGTATATAAGATAAGCCTGAAAAACTCTGCTTTCTGTATCAGAAAGCAGACTAACTTCAGGAGCCGGCATGAAGCGGCTCCAATGGCCAAAGATGGGAAATTTTGAGCTTCAATAAAGATTACTTCATAAATGGACTGAAATATATCAAACTTATCTAAATGTATGGATTCCAAATAACACTTAAAAAACTAATTGGTTAGAATTAGAGAATACTATTTTGAAAACTGGTAAGTAAAGGAAAAGAATCAATTATTCTACTTAACAGTAAGAGATGAGAAGCTTATATCCTTGTAGAAGTATTCCAATTAATAAAGGAAGGATAAAATTAGATCATCACTATTTTATAATCCTTAATGAATTAATGAACAGGTTCTAGCTGCTTTGAATTAAGGCTACTAGCCTCAAAAATGAGAAATAACAGACATTATTATGGCCTCCTGAGAGCAGAACAAAATCCCACCTATGAAGGGGTCTCACCCCAACTCCAAGACCGTAGATAAAATATCAATTTCCATGAAATGCAGAAAAATAAGCAAAAGGTAGTCCACTACAGGGATTCAGTCAGCAAAAGCCAGACTATGGGAAATCAGAGCAAATGAACCAGTTTATTCAATAAATAAGTTGCATAGGAAAATGATAAAATAAGAGATGAAGGAGAACTCTTTAAACTAAAAGTGGCTTAAAAGTCATACCAAACAAAAACAAAACAAGCAGAACTAAACTATAGTGTTCAGGGTGTGCTAGACTTCCAAATATTATAAAGAGCCATGATCCCAAAGCCTAAAACTTTTAATGCATCACTAAAGCTATGTAGATTTATTTTTATAAGGGAGTCACTCACCAGTCATAATATAGAACAAAACATAATGACTCCATATGCATTCTTTTTTTTTTTTTTTATCCTCACCCGAGCACATTTTTCCATTTTTTGTTCAGATAAGAGTGGGAGGGAGGGAGAGAAAGAGAGAGAGAGGGAGAGAAACATCTACGTGAAAGGAACACATCGAGTGGCTGCCACCCGCACAACCAACCAGGGCCGGGGACAAACTGCAACCAAGGTACGTGCCCCTAGCGGGAACTGAACCTGGGTCTCTCAGGACCGCAGGCCAACACTCTAACCATTGAGCAAAACCGGCCAGCGCTACATATGCATTCTTTACAATAATTCTACTATAGCCTTCAGTAACTTAAGATATTTGCAAAGATTTAAAAATACCTGTACGTTCAGAATTGGCTGTAACTAAGCAGAGCAACTTGATTTAAAATTAGTCTAGATCTTCCTGAGTCCTGGAGAGGAGGAGGCAAAACGGCTGAAGCC